TTTAAAACCTTTTTTGCTTTCCTGACAACATGTTTATGTATTAGTTAAATTTTTGTATTGTAATACTAAAGTTTACTCTTTTCCATTCAAAACTGCTGTTGTCGAAATAAAAATCAAATCAAATCAATCTCTCATTCAGGTGTGTCGTGGTCTGTTGTTTTAAGTTACGAAACAGAAACAGAAACGTGATCACATAGACGAAAACGTCCACAATAACAAGCATTCCTTCCAGGTGTGAAATATGTTCCGCTGCTTATCTGATATGGAAATTATAATCTATATAGTTACATAACACTTGTAATGGAAAGTCTGTTTCAACGCAAAAATGAATTATCTAGCTCATCTGCTTATCGAGAAAAGTCCAAAAAGTAGTGGTCAAAACATAACAGTGTAACGCTTGTACAAACTAAAGAATACTATAACAGTTTTCTAGTTCAGTTAGAACGACTTCTTTCCACATTCTTGTTAGAATTCTGAATGTCACATAGTTAACCTTGAGAATGCTTGTCAGAATGTAGAATTTTAGAAACTCTGAGGTTTAAATGCATGTAAAGTTGCAAATTCTAAAACCCTGCATTGTAAGAAACATTCTCAAAGTTATCTATATAAATTTGAGCGTGTGAACTTGTGTGCCAGAGGATGTTCATTAGCGTGTAAGGCTGCTTCGCTGTACGGCTGTTGAAATTCTTGATCTACGAGGGGCGACTTAGTGAAATTCAAAAGTTTTGATTCTTGCTGGGTTTAGATAAAGTTCGGGTTCTAAAATGCAGGGGTTGCCGGGTTAAGTTGTTTTGAACTTTACATTTTGTAACGGTGTTCGTGCATCTCTTCTCGTTCAGAAGATTTTATTCCACACGCCTCTAATAAAATGTTCTTTTCAAAGCACTTGAACAATGACCATACGAGCATCGATTCAGAGATGCAAATCTTTCAAATGTTTATGACACGCTGAGTGTGAATTATTCTCAGATTTGCTTTGATGATGAGACCGTTTTGGCATTCCAGAACAGAAAAAGTACATAAATTCTAAATGAACATCAGAGCGATGGCTTAGTGTGTTATTTTCTTGTTTATGCCCTCTTTTTACTATTACTCTTTCCAAAACTCGCATTTGGTGGATCTTTAAGTTTAAATCTCAGGCTTTTGTGGCTTTTTATCCGTAATAATATCACAGTTTTTGCGATATTGAGTTTTTCCATTTATCGCGAGCCAAATAGTCCGAGCCTAATATCAGACGCTGGATCCATTCCATTTTTGATTGAATAGTACTCTTCAATTTGCTTATAGTCAGTTATTTAATGCTGAGAGGAGAAATAGTTCTACAACATAGTGGGCGAACATCAAAATGTTTTGCTCGTGAACCATTTCTTCAGTAACAATTCTAATTACAGAATCATTTCTGATGCTTTTTAAGAAAAATCAGCGTTTCAGAAAAAAATCACCTTTCTCAAAATATCGATCGTAAGACTGGTCTATAGGAAAGAATTTTAATGAATAGTTATTATTCGATTCAACACTTACTGAGTTATACGTGATTCGACGAAACTCGATTCCGAATATGATCTTTATCTTTTAACTGTTGTATAACTAAATGAGTCTACATCTCCCTTTCATTTTAAATTTTATTAGATTTATTAAGAAAAGAATTTTGCCGCATGCTTCTGTGTTACGAGGTTCACGTTTGACTATGTGGTTTTCCACAATTCTTAGCACTAGGAACCAAACCTTTTTAACTATTTAATAAATGAAGCATCAACGTTCGTTTGGACAGAAACGAATTGAATTCTGTTTGTTATTCTGTTTCAGGCGTAATGAGACGTTATCTAGTATGGCCAGCGGGAATGATATTTCCAAATATCCTTCTCAAGTGTGCCACGTTTCGAATGTTGCATGAAAAGAAGAATGATGACGATTTGCGGCTTTCAACGTGGAAAATGGGACGATTTCGATTTTTCCTCATTGCATCTATTGTTCAGTTTGTTTACTACTGGATACCGGGCTATTTCATGCCCATACTAACATCATTTTCAGTAATATGTTTTATGAATCAGAATAATATTGTATTTGGCCAGTTAACCGGATTCTACGGTCTGGGTATTGGAGCACTGCAGTTGGATTGGCAATCGGTAACGGCATTTTTACAATCACCAATTCTGTATCCGTGGTGGGCTCTATTTAACATTCTTATTGGTTTCATTGGTATATACTGGATAATTATTCCGATACTGTACTATACGAATACGAATGCAAAAAATTTACCTATGTTTTCGAGCAATTCATATGCTAGAAATGGTAGTCGATATAACTATTCATTAATCACAAATGACAACAGGCATCTAAACCAAAGAGCTTATGAGCTGTACGGTGATCCAGTGTTGACACCAATATTCTCAGTAACTTTTTGTATCCAGTTTGCACTTATAACAGCAATTATTGTTCATACCATCTTGTATCATGGTAAGTTTATCTTAAAGCAATTCAATATGTCAGCTGATGAAGCAACAAATGATGTCCACGGTGCATTAATGGCAAAAGTGGGAAAAGAAGTCCCCGAGTATTGGTATACATTATTATTTCTGAGCTTATTTGTTTGTGCAGCAATTGTGTGTGAACTAGCAACACTGATGCCATGGTATTATCTTTTTCTAATTATATCAATTGATTTCATTCTCTTACTACCCAGTGGTATTGTAAAAGCCATAACAAATCAAGATATAGAATTAGATTTGCTAATGTCACTTTTGGGCGGACTTGTATTGAAAGGCAACGCTGTTGCCAATATGACATTTCGAACATACGGGTACACAATTCAACGTCGTTCATTAACATTCATAGCTTGTTTGAAGCTCGGTCATTATACGAAGATCCCTCCACGCGCTATGTTCACTATGTTGGTTGTTAGTACTTTAATTGGTTCTACACTAAGTTACGTAGCAGCGTATCTTATTATAAAACATCTAAAGGATCTTTGTCGCAGTAACGATTGGCTGTGTCCGGAAGTGCGTGTATTTAAAGAAATATCTTACTATGTGGGCACTGTAGGTACAGCTAATTTTCTTCACGCACACTTATATACATTATATTTCTTTCTGATCGGCGCACTGTGTCCGATTCCAGCGTGGCTATTACATAAACGATTTCCTACAGTTGGATGGTTGAGATATGTACATTTTCCAGTTATGCTCGCATCGTTATCACAAATACCACCTATACAAACAGCTACATATCCAACGTGGTTATTCATCGGTTTTATATTCAATTATGTTATACGAAAGCGTGCTAGTGACTGGTGGATTAAGTATGCTTATATATTTTCAGCAGCAATGAGCGCTGGTGTTGGTGCGGGACTTATTTGCATTGCATTTCTGCCGGTATTTCCAGTGCACTGGTGGGGAAATGCTCAAAATGAAGTCAACGGTGATGGGTGTAAATATTCAACTGCTAATTACTATGGCCTTATACTTGATCCAACTCTTTCCACAAATCTATGAGGGAAACAAGAATGAAAGTCTTCATTATACATATGTTCTATTTTAACTCAGTGAATGTTGCGTGTATGGCTTAATGTTGTATGTCTTAAGCTCGATCTCAACTATCGGTCATACCTTGAAGATGTGGAATAGCAACTGTGCTATTTACCTTTTGTGCTGGATGTTCATTACTCTTTTGCTTCGCATTCTCGTCTTTTCCTTTTTCTCTGTTCAATTTATTTTTGCATGTGTATGTTTTGGTTAATTGCTATTCGTCGGTATAGTAGAGCCGTATCAAATAAGGAATATCTCTATCTTTTCACTTCTTGGCAAATGTGAGCAAATGTCTATATTTCTATTAGAAGTGTATCGATGACTGTAATTCAATCTATGATTCATCACTCGCCATTTTTTTGGTCAAATCAAATCATTTTTTTTACTGTTAGCTTCGCGAGATTGTCCCCTACTAAAATGCGTAAAGAAACCAGAAAATATGCTAGGAAACACTAAGAAAAAAAATCAACATGTTGTTTTTCCTCTCAACAACGCCAATGCATGTATATATCATCACTGGTCATAACATACCTCCTTTGATAAATCGGAGGAAGAGAATCATATCCTTTAGATATGATCAAAATAAACAAAGCATAATTCATACCTGACGTATACCAATCGTTTTAAAATTTCTTTGTGCCTCTGATCAGTATTCCCCACTACACAAATGTTTTCTAGCAAAATCGAGTATTTCTGTGTCGACATTTTTCTGTATATTCCAAAATATGTTTTATTTTTATGCGATTGCTGTTAAACAAAAAACCACATATGTGCAATATGAGACACAATGTATGACCACCATACAAAAAACACATAAAGAACCAAAGATAAATCTTGTCTGATAAATGACATATTTTTTAACAAATTTTTTAGAGTATCCGTTTTACTGCAGCTGTTTTCCATTATTTTCTTTTATTTCTTTAAACTGAGATTTCTGATTAACGATTCATCATCAGAGTTAGGATTGTTTAAAAATATTAGGAATCCACACAATTGATAAAAATGGAGAAAATTCTTCTAGGCGGTTACAAGACTTCTCTCTGAGATGTGCAAAAATGAGTTGTTGCTCCGTCTAAAACACAATATGAGAGAAGAAGAAGTAAAAAACACTGAAATTTTCTGATACATTAGTAAACAATGTATAAACGAACAATAAATTAAGTTACTGATAGAATCTTTTAATTACAATAAAACAAATTTCTATTTCTTTTTCTTAACGAAGGAAAATTAGTAGAAAGAAATTCCCAAGGAAATAGAAGCAATGACAGTGAACTATCTGTACCCCTAAACTGAGGTGCATTTGTACGGATAAGTAAATGTGCTCTGATAAGCACCCCACAAGATCGAATTTAAACCTATATCAGCTCGACATAAATATGTATTTCAAACTGACTACTCAACTCATTTTCAAGTCAAGATAATTACTAGAGACAAATCTTATGGGGTGCTTATTAATGCACATTTAGCTATCCGTACTAGGAGTGCATCGGTTATTTTTTCTTATTTTTCAAAAATTCACAATAAATGTTTTGTATTTTCATAAAAACGATTTGCAACATTTTTCTAAAACGGCAGTTTTGTAGAGAAAACATTTCTCTACAAGATAACATATAATAGTTAATTTTAAAGGTTTTTGGGTTCTTTAAAAAACGTTTTTGATAGAAGGCATATCGGTTAATAATCGCGGTTATAACCGACGGTTATTAACCGATCGTAGGTTTAAGAAAAACGCTTTCTAAAAGGAAACAAAAAATTTTAAAATTAA